CGGTTTCTGTGATAGGTTGTGCTCCCCTGTGTGTGTGTTTGTGTGTCTCAGCATTAAAATGGCAATTTTTCAACTATAAATAAATTGCCTTTTGCATTTAATTTGCATAACGGGACAATTTTCCAACAAATCACTAAAGATTTACAAAAATTTAGAAAAGAAATTGATAAATATAAATAAAAAAGAGTGTACTAATTCGCGTTAAATTTTCAGGTGGCCGCAATTAATACCAACGATCAGTGATCAATGCATATAACAAGTTTTCAGATCACTTCTTGACTTAGGTGAGTCCCCGAAAGCCTAGCTTTACTTAGTTAATTATTTATTATGACCTTCGATTCGGTGTGATCTTGATAGATGCAAGGGAAAATCCTAATGGGCGGGATCTTTGAAAAGAGTCTATATACAATATTTGAATATTACTTGTAATCTATTTAAGGGTTTGGGTTGTATATGTTTAATTTTTCAGTTTTACAAATGAAGTGTTATAATTGTAATAGGTTAGAAAAAATTAACTAAAATGGAGTATTTGGATATAAGTGTAAATATCACATATTCTTCCTATACTGGACTATTAATATTTTAGGGAAGAAAGGAAGCTAACTTCAGGAGCCTGAAATTGCTAAACCCTTGCATAGAAAATCGGACATTATCATAATGTTTTTCTTAATTTCCAAATATAGCCATATAATATTTATTTCCTACATCAATGACCCAATTACATAATTTATCGGTTTCTAGGAAAGTTATTATTAATTTTCCCATACAACTTTAGAGTTATACAAAATTACATTTAACTAATGCGTAGAACTGATCCTGTTGGGAATAAAAGTTCTACGAAATAAATTGGTAATTTTTCTCACAAATTTAAAATATATTTTCCTTTTAAATATCGTAACAAGGTTCAAAATATATATAGTAGAAATAAGTTTTAGCCACTTACAATATAGTATCAAAAATATTATCTTTTGGTATATGTTAAGAGTGTTTGATATTATCCTATAAACATCAATTGAAGTTCTTGATGAATTCTAAAATAAGAACTATCTAAGGTTGGGTATTTTTTTGATCCCCTTAATTAATAGGTTCATGGACTACTTGCAGTGTAACCTAAAGCTCTTTTTGGGTGGCAATTATCTACTTGCGTATTAAATAATCCACTGTGAATGCAAACGATAAACTGAAATAATGGCCAAAACACCTGTGTACATGGCAGCGCAGTCGCAGAGGCTTCTGCTGCTTCTGCGTTGCCGACAAACGAAAGTTTCTTACGAGGCGCGCACGTGTGTGTAGTATTCGTAGTAGTAGTAGTGTTTCTTTGACTGTATTAGTGAGTGGAAGGGGTGGGAAATGGGGGTAGATGGGAAAAGCTTTCCGCCTGCATTTGTTAGTTATTTTTTTTATTTCGCGGGCATTCAAATACGCCGGAGAGGTTTTCATTCGTTTCATTCTAAGATCGACTCTATGCCTTTGCGGTCGTGTGTTCGCGTTTCATTTCTTTTATTTTTATTTCGTTCGGTTTAATTTTCCGGTGAAAAATATATAAAACATACAATATTTATCAAACACAAAGAGCGGTTATTGTGCTTCTTCGGCTGTGCGGGATGAGTGTGTTTAGGAAATGAGTTAGTCATGTGTCTTAACTGGTCCTTGGTTTAATTCGCAGGTAATTATGAAGAAAACAAAAGCCTCTTAGCTAATTCAGTGTAATTTTTGAAATACTAAAAATATAAAATTAAACAAAATAAACTGCAGCCAAGCTAAATGCAAACCGGCTGCTGACTCACTTCGCGAGTGCCGAGCGTAGGTAAAAAAGAAAAATAAAATCGTAAAGTCGCATTATTTTAGCAAGTCATCTACGATCTACACAAAGCTCGAGTGCTGACAGAGATCTAAGGCCAAGTAAATAGATGATATTCCGTATATCTAGTGGTAGTTTCCCCATATGCTAAACCCGGAGTCATGATTGATACGATCTCTAGGTGGGTAAGGCCCCCTATGCAAATCATCAATCAATAGGAATTCTCTGTTTCTACGATATAATACGAGGCGTGAGCATTATAATTGGGTTGATGGATAAGATATAGGTATGAAATATATGTTCACATATATATTGGCTTTGTGAGAGTCACATGTGAATGATAATTTCCAAAAATTATGCTGTTGATTGTGTTAAAAAATATTTAAGTGTTTTTTTGATTGCAACTTTGTTATTTCTTGTGTAAATTTCTTATAGAAGGAATATATAAAAGTAATTTTACCAGCTGTAACCTAATAGAAAAACATAAATAATATCTTATTCCTCTTTGTTTTTATATATTTCACTATTAAATAGAATAAAGAATGTTTAAAGTTTCGTGTATATTTTATAGTTTTTTTTTTTGATTTAGCAGTGTAATTTAAGTCAGTATCTTGTGAAGAATAAAATTAATTTTTTTAAATTTATCAAAATTTAAAAAAAGACTAGAGGTTACATCGTAAAATTTTCAACCTAATAAATACTAGCACAGAACCGCTTTCCGAATTAAAATTAATGATTTTTTATGAATTTTAAGTTCTGATTTGTTGGTAAAATTGTCACATAAAAATATAAATTTAAAGAATTGGAATATTTTAAGCTTTGTTTATGATTGATATCCCATTCGATTCTATAATTCAATTGCAACCTGAAAGGGTATATGAAATTTGGCTTACCAAAGTAAATTATTATTCTTGTGATTTCAAAATACAAAAATTAAATAGTTTCATAAAATATTCATTTAAATATATTGATATAATATTTTCTTCCTATTTGCCATAATGTAACCTCTCCCAATTTTCGAGGAAGAACTATTTGTATAGTTTGGGAACTAGTTCCATCGATTTGTCAGCATATAGGTTATTTATTTTTATTTGAGCTGTAAATTGCTTGACGCCAATGATCGTTAAAAAACATTTGGCTGTCTGGAGGTTTTGCGGAACCCGTTTTCTTGAGGAATTTTTGGCTGCTTCTGCTGCTTTGATGTTGATCTTAATCTTAATTTGTGGTGCTGGCGCCAAAAGAACTTTTTTCTGGTGTGCCTTTGCTATTGGAAATTGCATAAAATTAGCATCGTAAATGATTGAAACGAAATGTTTTTATTTTATTTTGTTTATTTACCTTTTTTATATATATAGTCATAACTGGGCAGATAAGCGACGGCGATCAGGCTTTTTATTAATCAATTTTATGGTTTGCCAAAAACTTTTTACGTTCAATGGGGTTTTTTTCTGCTGTTGGTAGTTAACTTTTATCAAGTGGAAATTTTGCCAAAAAATGGCAAATAAAGTTTACTAAACCTTGCAAAAGTTTGACAAACTATTTAGCTTTTTTCCATTGGTTTCTATTTATACACCTGTAATCTTATTTTCGGTTATCTTGGAGTATTTGGTGCGTTATTTATACGCTCCACACCTGAGTATTATCAGTCTGAACGGAACGCTCTGCAGGTGCTATCTGATGGGCGTAAACGGTAGCGATTTGTTTTTTGTTTGCTTCTCCAATATCTCACTATAGTTACGGATGATATAATCGAAAATCGTAAGCAAAATCGTTGGTATTTGGTTGCTTAATTACTTGCAGAGTTGTTTGTTTTCTGAGTGACATTTTCAATTGGTTTGTGGGAATTTCCTGACTTGTATATCCGCAAATAAGGAGATTTGTATCGTCCAGAAGGTAACTGACCTATTCCCGCTTTATTATATAGAAATATCACGTAGTTAGTGAATGATTCTTTGGCCAACAGTGGGTGGCACACGAGCAAATTCCTCGCATTTTTCAATCTATAGAAAACATTTTGTATTGTGACTCATTTCGGTTTTCTTGGAAAATTGAAATGTATTTTGTTATTAACAATTCAGATGGTCCGAGAATATAATGCATCCCATTCATTTTTCGGGGTAGATATACCCTATATATCCTCCTCTGCCCAGCATAGATCCGTAATATATAAATTGTATTCTTGCAAAACTCATTTTCTAGGTTTCTGAACTGGCGCCAACTGCCCAAGGCAGATTGAACGCTGACAAGTGTCGAGAGTTTCTTTTTTTTTACCGTGGATAATGAAACGGAAATGCCAATATAACCCAAAAACCATATGCCTATCCGTATATATTAGATAGATACCCCCTAGGTATACAAATGTACTTGAATAATGTGTTTATATTCACTGCAAAAACAAACAAGCCTCTGTTGATGCATTTTATGGTAATTTGTAAGATACCTTTGCATCTTTTGCTTAGATTAAAAGGCGCATTTTGTGCGATTTGAATTTTGTTTTTTCCCCCCAAAATAATGCTTGTGTGACTCATTTCTAACAAGGTTCATAAATATATATAGTAAGGCATAAAATTCAATATAAATATGAATGTATTTTGTTTGGGAATTTTTATATGATTTTTTTGGGTTGAGGTAATTGGTAAATGCTTTTTATGAATCAAACTAATACTAGATGTTTGCCTATTTAATATTACCTAAATAGTAAACGTTTCTTTTATACTTCTACATTTTATACCTTATTCATTTATAGTTATTAATTGTTTGTTAAATCGATAAGACACGTGTGTGATCGCAATTGATTTAATTGTTTATACAATTGCCAAGCTAAACTTTATTGACATCGGTTATTAAGTTTTCATTTCCATTTTCTTAATACCAGCTACAAATATGGGAAATGTCGTTCCTATATTCCTATATATATCATATATATCTTTCATTCCTGAAAAATTGGGACAACTGCCTCGGCGAAAAGAGAGAAAATTCCTTGAAAAGCAAAAGCAATAAATACAGGCAGATACAAAATATATATACGTACACAATGTGCAATTTAAAGGAAATAAATTTTTAACATATTAAATAAAATAAAAATAGCAGAAAGCTCTGCTCGGGCGACGAAACTTTCGCTGGGCGGCAAGCGTGCATAAAGAATTTTGTGTTTTTTTGTCTTAAAAACATTTTGCTCGGTTCAGTGTTCAGACATTAGGCGAGTACTCAAGACGTTTTTGCCGAGTTGTGTTTATTCGTCGGTTCGGTCAACTATACAGAAATATTCTCCTCTCTGAAATACCTATAGATACGAAAATATATAGAGAGACGTTTGTGTGCATATAGAAACTTAGTTCAAGACCAAAAACGACAGATTTCAGAGGAGGTCACTCTGTGTGCGGTTATTGAACAAATCAAATCGAATAAAAATCTACAAAAATATATATAAAATATATATATATTGTCCTGTCAATGTTGTAATTGATTAACCAAAAGGATCTGCTAAATATTCGAATATCTCCAGCTTTATCGCTGTGTGTGTTGTGAACGACTTTCCATCAAAGTTTGGCCGTGATAAGTGAAAGGTGATTAATCGATCAATCTTTATATGCAAAACAATACGTATGAGTAATATATAGTAACTAAATCACATTCGTATTACACATCTTGGCTCTGATCCAATTGTCTTTTCATATTTTGCCCAAAATGCAAATAATTTAATGACGTAATCCTCCCGCAAATATTCTCAGTGTTATGAAAATTTTGATCAGTTTCAACAATTTGAATTTACAAACCTAAAAGAGTGTTTTCTTTTTTGACAATTTTAAAAACATATATTGTAGCATGACAGCACGTGGGTTATGTCTTTTGATTTATTATCATTTAAGCTATTTTAAAGGTTATTGGACTTTGGTGTCCTTTGATTGCTGGTTTCTTTAATTAAACTAAATTATGAATATTTGTTCCTGTGATTTATAGTCGCAAATATTTCTAGTTGACGCACAAAAAGCATTTGACAGCTGTGAAAACTTTAATTGAGAAATCGAATTCTCCTCGAAAAACACATTTTCCTAAGTATATACATATTAATATGTTTTTCGATAGAGCAACTGTTTCAAAAAAATAGCATATAAATTTAAAAAATCAAAGTTATTAATAAGGTTGTATATATATGTTTGAAAGGATATATAGTTAAAATTAGATAAATGTAAATATATATTGATATAGATGATGACTCACTTATTGTGTATTAAAATGTAAGCCTAGATATAAGCTTTCTTGGAACGTTACATTCTACTTTCTGCACTTGTTGGGAGATGGGAAGTATCTTTAAGATACAACAAGAAGGGAAACTTATTTCGGGAAGCCTAAGTTTATACACCTTTTTAGCTTCCAATTGAAAGATTGTATCGGAAATTTATCATAACTTAGCTTAAAATATTCGCAGTCTTAGAATCTATAGTTTTATATGACAAATTTGATCACTAATCAAAGTTTAACAAAATTCATAACTAAGCCAAAATTGCATTAATTTTAATTCGGGAAGCTTTCCCATGATAGTTCTTATGAGGTTAATAAATCTGCATACTCAATTGAAAATGTAAAAAATTCAAAATTTTGAAAATTGAACGATGTAACCCGTTTTTTTTTTTAAATTTCAAAATTTATTTTTCACGGGACATGGCTAGATCGATTTGGCAGTTGATTCTGATCAAGAATATATATGATTTATGGTGTCGGAAATGACTCCTTCACATAATTACAGGCTGCTGAGAAAATTATAGGCTATAAAAATAAATACAAAAATTGGCACACGTTTCTGGTTTCTGCTCCTATACCCCACCGATGATTGGATCGTTGGAGATCGGACCAATGCATGGGCATTAGTTTTGCCAGCCATTGACGTATGTACATATTACCCACGGCAGACCGATGTCTAGACGACACGATCAGAGAATAAACTCTGAGGTCATACAGCTACTTAGTCTTCCTCGATATATATTGTCTGTCTATATCTAACATGTACGTATTCACACCGATCGGCAAAAGAAGCGCTGCGTTGACAATGCGCCATCATTGATAAAATGTTTTGTTTGGATTGCTCCAAACTCGCCAAAAAACAAGAATACAACAACAAAAAATATAAAGCTCAAGCATCGCCGGGGAGGCCAGTCTGCGAGGCAGACTATATATACGATCCACCTATATATACTATCCGATATATGGGAGCAAAGACTGCGGAGGCACCACCACCTCACAGAGTCTGTGTCGCTTTGTGGCCGCGTTACGCAAAATGTTATTTTTAAACAAGGCGTCCGGAGCTTTAGCCGGACTACACCGGACTAGACCCGTACACGGATCCCAATCCCCGGATACCAAAAACACAGAACAAATATGATTTACCTGGCTAAAGAATTACCCTGCATAAGGGTTAGATGGTTGCAAATATAGCCTAATTAGAAGGGATTGTTGTGGGCTTTCTATATGATCATAAGATTCAAATACTTATATTTTGGAAATGCTTTCTTTGTAGTATTTCCTACAAATACCTCTTCCCAACATACCCCTCTATTGCTGGGTATTACCACCAACGCATCTATTGCAGCAGCTGCATCGCATTTGGAACAGAATTATGAAAATATACAGCTCTCTTAATGACCCCTAAATAGTTCAATTAATGTTTGTTTAATGTAGACAAAAAGCCACCCACCCAGAAGAGGGTGAGGATAAATAAATAAAAATATTAGAAACCTGGCTCCGGTAGAGATTTCTTTTCAGTTCTTTGCCAGATGCTTCACGGTTCAGTTCGTCATATGTGTTTTAGTATATATAAACAGATCGCCGGATCAGATGTAACTAGCGCCAAATAGCTAATAGTTTAAACAAGTACACAGTTTCTTATTTTTGGTTAACATTGTCATCGTCTGGCTTTGTCTTTCAATGTGCTTGCCAAGGAATTGGATTCGCCTTTTAGACATAAATTTAAATCAGCATAAAAGAAATATTGATAGTTTCTAGAACTTACAAAATTATATCTATAACACATATATACTCTTACTTAATTGTAGTTAATTTATATCCCATGAATTTGATGTATTTCTAATTATTTACCTCTCCCTTGCAGTTAATATTTTGGCCACGAAATGTTTCCCAACCAGAACAACGTAGCCGCTACTGGGCCAGGCCCGGCGCCTGATGGCCAACAGAGCCTCAACTACAATGGACTGCCGGCTCAGCAGCAGCAGCAGCAACAGTTGTCACAGTCCACAAAGAATGTGCGAAAGAAACCCTATGTGAAGATCACGGAGCAGCCGGCGGGCAAGGCCCTCCGATTCCGCTACGAATGCGAAGGACGCTCGGCGGGCTCCATTCCGGGTGTGAACTCCACGCCGGAGAACAAGACCTATCCAACGATCGAGATTGTGGGTTACAAGGGACGTGCCGTGGTGGTGGTCTCCTGTGTGACCAAGGATACGCCATATCGGTGAGTGATTTAAACTTATATCTCAACTTGGTTATTTGTAATATATTTCATTATATATACCAGTCCTCATCCCCATAATTTGGTGGGCAAGGAGGGCTGCAAGAAGGGCGTCTGCACTTTGGAGATCAACAGTGAAACCATGAGAGCTGTGTTTAGCAACTTGGGTATTCAGTGTGTCAAGAAGAAGGATATTGAGGCGGCACTCAAGGCGCGTGAGGAGATTCGCGTGGATCCCTTTAAGAGTGAGTAAATGGAACTATTTTTCTTTCAACTTTCTTTAATAAAAATGTCACTTATACCTCTTTCCAGCTGGCTTCTCGCATCGTTTCCAGCCCTCGAGCATTGACCTGAACTCGGTGCGACTTTGCTTTCAAGTATTTATGGAGAGTGAACAGAAGGGTCGTTTCACATCACCCCTGCCGCCGGTTGTCTCGGAACCCATTTTCGACAAGAAAGCCATGTCTGACCTGGTCATCTGCCGGCTGTGCAGCTGCTCGGCCACTGTGCTCGGCAATACCCAGATTATCCTGCTGTGCGAGAAGGTGGCCAAGGAGGATATATCGGTGCGTTTCTTTGAGGAGAAGAACGGTCAGACCGTGTGGGAGGCCTTTGGGGACTTCCAACACACCGATGTCCACAAGCAGACTGCCATTACCTTTAAGACGCCGCGGTATCAAACGCTGGATATCACAGAACCCGCCAAGGTAGGTCTACTAAGTAACTCAGAAATGTTTTAAAGACTTTTCTAATTTGTTCTTTTTCTGTATGCAGGTCTTCATCCAACTGCGACGCCCATCAGACGGAGTCACCAGCGAGGCCTTGCCCTTCGAGTACGTGCCATTGGATTCAGGTAAACACACATTCTGGAACCTTCATCGGCACCTCAAGCGGAAGCCCGACGAAGATATCTTTCAGCAGATCCTCAAGTTGGATGCCAAACGGGAGGCGCCCACGATTGAGGTCATTGATTTGGATACACCAAAGATAGAGGTGCAGCGTGAGCAACCTTTAGATGTGATATTCCATCAAGAGGATTCTTTACAAGAGGAGTCATCATTTTTGTCACAAGAACACGAACAGGATTCACAGCAGGAGCAATATTTACAGCAGGAGCAAACTCAGCAGCATGAGCAGGAACAGCCTCTTCAAAGGGAACTTGTAACTCAACAATCCCTAGACCAGCCTTCGGAGCACTTGACGGATCACACTTCCGATCATATACCCGAGGATATGGAGGCAGCCGATGCCCAGGCAGAGGCTGAGGCCCATCGCCTGCGTTCCGAACAGGAGAAGGAAATTGACACCATTATTGATGAGAAGGTGCGAGAACTGGAGCAACTGGAATTGGGTCAACATCTTGAACCGCGACCACTGACCGCTGATGACAAAGTCACCGAATGGATGAAGTCCAGCGAGATTGAACAGATGGTCCATGAACCCAGCCCCATAGTCGAAGGAGATGTCTTGGATGCGGCCTTTGAGACGCATATAACCGAGGAGGATAAGACGCTCAATGAACTCTTGGAGCAGGTGGCAGAGCTGGATGAGATTTATACAGATTACAAGGTTCAAAGGGACACCTATAACAATACCATGAAGAACGAGCTAGCTGCAATGGAGGGACATCCACCATTGCAGGTCGAAGAGAGTTTCGATGATGCGGCGACCTACACAAGCTTGCAGATTGCCTTTAGGAATCCCGTGTTAATACCTATGGATGACATTATGCCACCAACTCCACCCATGTCACAATGTGCACCGGAAGATGCCCACCAGCACTATGATCCCGTCGAGGTTAATTCACAGGCTAGGAAGCCGGAGACTCCATCCCGTCCAGCTCCACCAGTGCCAGTGCAAGTGCCACTGCAAATGCCAGCGATTCTTACGGTTCCCTTTCCACCCGAGGAGGAGAAGCTGCCGCCTTTGCCACCGAAAAGGATTCGCAAGCAGGACAGCAATGCCGAGAATCGTTCCATCGAGGCCAATACGGTTCAGGCCAGGCCATCCACCGCCGAGTCTCCCCTCAACAAGAGATTACCACCCGCTCCTTCACATACCAAGAACCCGAATTTCAATACTCTGCCGAGACAGAAGAAGCCGGGCTTCTTTTCGAAACTCTTTTCGCGTCGTAAGAGTAAACCGGAATTGGCCCAGGGATCAGGTCAGGATGGCGGCTCTTTGCTAGACTCCAAGATGAATAGTCGGGAACCAAGTATAGGACACTTTAATATGCAGGATCCGATGAGAGCTTCACTTCGCTCCTCCAAGTCGGCGGCTCCCTTCCTCTCTAGCACCAATCAGTCGGGCGCTACAACCGCAACGAAAAGTAGTCCTGTGAAGGCCAAGAAGCCTGGATCGAAACTGACCAAGCCTGTGGGCCGAAGTGTGAGCAGTGTTTCGGGAAAGAGACCAGCTTATTTAAACGCGGATGTGGTGCACATACCCCTGAAGGGTGACAGTGCCAATAGTTTGCCACAACATCCCCGAACCGAGGCTTATTCTCAATCCAGCACTGTGTCGGTGGGAGCAGGTCTGGATCGACGCACTGCATCCGCTTTGCAGCTGGCTGATATACCAATAAGCGAGGGAGGCATGGAACTGGTGGCCATTGCCGATCGCCAGAGTCTACACAATTTGGTTAGCTCCATCGAGGGTCACTTTAATGTCCAACTGGATCCCAATTTGGATCTGACCGAAGCCGAACACTTTGCCTTGTACACGAGTATTCCGCCGCTGGCGGCGGCCAGTGAATTTGATGAGACCTCCGCCTACTATGCTCCAGTGGATGCCGGCGAGATCCTTACACCCGATGAGGTGGCCAAGCGATTGGCAGCGGCTAATGGCCTGAATTAGGCCTTGGAAAATTGTTAAATTTAAATATTGTTTAGGCAAAACGAAAAGAGGTTAAGATTATAACCTACGAAACTCCAAAAAACGAAGCAAGTTGCGTACGGAAAGCCAGAGGGAAATATAAACCCTTTCCATTAAGAAGGGACAAACACCTCTGGTGGAGGTCCTCTTGTGGGAGGAACACCTTTTTAGGCCTCCGAAAATTGTATTTGTTTTTCTTTTTAGATTTGATAATTGTCCTAAAAAGTATCCCCCGAAATATGTATTTTGTAAGAGATACCAAAGGCAACGAAAGTCCAGAGAAATGGACTTGCAAGAGATTTGTTATTGTCCAGGTCGCACCTTTTAAAGAAGGCTGCATGACCTCCCATTAATTGTATTTAAGCGAAATCACTCAATTTTCAGAGTAGCATAAGATTTCCACAGTGAAATCGAATATTGTTTTTTTAATTGAAACCAAAGAAAACCGAATCGATGTACAACGTTGTGTGTGTATATTTTGTCTTATAGATCCAGCGCACCTGAGGCGGAAACGTCAGAAGACTGGCGGTGATCCCATGCACCTGCTGCTCCAGCAGCAGCAGAAACAGCAATTACAGAATGACCATCAGGATGGCAGTAAGTCAGCTGTTGAGAATCTCTTCTATCTCTTAGCTATAAACTCTGGTGGCGGTTCACTGTCCTTTGTCCTCTAAAGATTTGTCAATTTGAATAATCTCCCTGCTCCCCTGTGTACGGATCCACTTGGGGTGCCTTTGTTTGTTTTGTGAGATGCTAAAGCCATCTGGAGCTGATCCGAGATCCTACCTGGTCGAATGCCTTTGCCGTTCGACACCTTTTTCGGTGTATACCAAAGACTTACAGTAACAAAATCATCGTTTCCGATGATGTATTAATCGAATAGACTCTTAGCAACTATTAGATGTCACACTCACTCAAAATGAACTCAGCCAATCACCAAAAAGCAACCACAACCAAAGAGGAAACTATATATATTTGGGGAAAGCCCTCCTCCTACTATATATTTATATATTGATTTACATATATCGTAGTTGAAATTATAGCAATATTATCGGGAGTCAAGGGTTTAAAGAAGGTTATTGAGAGGGAAGTTGATTTGAAATCAAAAACGAAATTTTGTCGCTTTTTCTACTCGTTTACATGCGAAAAATATTTGATATTTTTATATATATAATAAAAAATTACAAGTTTGGTAAAAATATTTTGTATAAAATATTGTAGCTTAATAAAACAGAATGAAATGAAGTTGAAATGAAAGAAAAAACAAATATATATTGTCGACCTTCTTATTCAAAGGGAATTTTAATAGGTTAAAGTAAGTTTTGCTCTTAAAAAAATATAGTTCTGAGTAAGTTTCTTAATTTTGGTTTTGCCACGTTTTTAAAAGATTAGTTTCTGGCTTAAATTATTTTTTTAATTTATTTATTTCATTTGGAAATGTTTTTCTGCATGTTTGTTTTGCAAGGGAATATTTATTTTGTTTTCCTTCAACATTAATTGGATTGTGCTTTAGTTGTCTTTGTTTGCTGTTTGTTTCGTATTAATTTTATTGTTTGGTTATTAATAATTATTTTTTATTGTTTGTTTTTTATGCACTAATTTGTACTTGCTTTGCTGCTTTCTTAGGACAAACTAATATGAATTGCTGGAATGCGCAAAACATACCGCCAATCAAAACGGAACCCAGAGGTGAGTTATTAATATTGAGGTTTTTTCGATACTATATGAAAACGTACATTGTGAGATATGTAATATAAGGATTTTCCTTTCGATATACATTTCTAATTGATATCCTATCCCCCCAAAGATACCTCACCGCAGCCCTTTGGCCTGTCCTATAGAGCTCCGCCCGAGCTCACGCCATCGCCGCAGCCGCTGTCACCGTCGAGCAACTACAATCACAACAGCACGCCCTCGCCCTACAACATGGCCTCTGCGGCCACGCCCACCAACAACCAGCAGCAACAGCAGCTGATGTCGCCCAATCATCCCCAGCAGCAGCAACAGCAGCAACAGCAACATCAGCAATTTGGGGGAACAGATCTGGGCAACAACTACAATCCGTTTGCTCAGCAAGTACTCGCACAGCAGCAGCAACACCAACAGCAACAGCAACACCAACAGCAGCAACATCAACAACATCAACAACAGCAGCAGCAGCAGCAGCAACAGCAAGGTCTGCAATTTCAAGCCAATCCCTTTGGAAATCCAGGTGGAAGTCACTGGGAGAGCAAGTTCTCGGCAGCTGCAGTGGCAGCAGCAGCAGCCGTAGCAGCGGGAGCAACAAATGCCAATGGCAACACAAACAACAGCAACAATCTCAGCAATCTCAACAATCCTTCACCATGCACAACCTGCTCACATCAGGTGGAGGTCCGCAATGGAACCTGAGCACCAACCATCTGGTGGGTTGAACAAATAACACCAAAATTATCATTCAAATATCCTAAAACTTGTCTCAAATTCATTTTGCAGCATAATCAGCATACGCTTCAGCAGCAGCAGCAACTGCAACAGCAGCAGCAGCAGCAACATGTCCCGCCCATGCATCAGTATGATAATAATGCACCTAGCAACAATAATCCCAACAATAACAATAATAATAATAACAATAATAATGGGGGCAGCCAGGCGGATAATGGTCCCACGATCAGCAATCTGCTTAGCTTCGACAGCGAGCAGCTGGTGCGAATCAACTCAGAGGATCAGCAGATACTGCGCCTCAACTCCGAAGATCTGCAGATATCAAACCTATCCATATCTACGTAATACCTTATCGAAACGAACCGAAAGCCAATCACAGATGCAAAGAGCACAAATATAAGGAGGAGGAGGATGATGATGATATAGCATTAAACCTAATCCGACCTGGTCGTCTTCATAATTGATTGTTTTAGTGTTGTAATAACTAGTTTTAAATGCAAAAATGTGTGTTTTGTAGGATATAATAATGTTTTTAAATATGAATAAATTAATCGTTTTAGCAGTATGAAAAGCAAATGATAAAGTTCTTCTTCAGTTTAGAGCTTTTTAAATAATTATATTTTTGCTATTATTATATTCTAATTTGGGTATTATTAATATTTAACCCTAATTGCTGATCAACTAGAGGTAGCGAAGTGTAAAGTATTTATAAAGGTCGCCTAATGATCCAACAATATTTTAGGGTTCCATTGTTAGTTGGAACATAGATCTGAGGAGTTCTACGGAAGTTAAAATGAAATTTCAGTACCTTGAGCTGGTGGTTATAATGGTTTTATGCCAAATTAAATTAGTAGGACAATATATATAATACCACATATTCGTGTAATAAAATATAATATTTTTTTTTAGTTCGAAAGTCGTGGATTAGATTTTACAAATTTAAACTGCACTTCCCTGGATAAAACATTCTGTGACTTTAATTATTGCTATTTGAAAGCGGAAAATCGAACTTATAAGCATTTGTCCCTTAGGGTTAATCTCTACAAAATACCAGTTAAGAATTTTAAGGTGCGTATGGCTTATATTATGTGTAATTATATTTATACCCTTGCAGTTTTAATGAACATTAAGTAACTGTGATCAGTAAGTATCTATGACCAGTAAGTAACTACGATCAGTTACTAACTTTAAACACTAATAAACAATGACTTGCAACTTTTGTAACACAACACATTTCTGAGACATGGCCGGTAGAAGTCACTTCGTTCCGGGGATGTTAGAACCAGTTGGGAATCATATGCACACATGTGAAGATGTTTTGTAACAAATTTAAGAGCAAGTAGAGTGAAAACTATGGAGTTATTCTTCTATAAAATTTTACTTGTATATATATCGGAGCATGGCAAATCGGTGGACTATATATACATATATATAGCTCCCATAGGAACGATCGGAAAATTTTAAGAAAAATAAATTATAACTTTTCCAGTTTTCAATAAATTTTCATCAAATTTGATATATAGCCATTATAATAATATAATAATAATAATATAATAATTAATATAGAATATGGTGTTAAATTTTATGAAAATCGGATTACTACATTTATATAGCTGCCATAAAAGTAACTATATTATAATTAATATTGTATAAATTCCTAGTGAAAGAATTTCAAACTACGGCTTGCCGATATTTGTTGATATATTTATATGTATATACATTTATTGATATATTTATTGATATTTACTACCATTTACTCTAGGTAAATATCGCTCTATATAAACGATCCAATGGTTTGAGGCCGATGAGCTCTAACTTGACTGTTGATGGCTGTAAAGCTTTAGCTGGCCAAAAAATTCCATGGGTAAAATTCCTTTTCAGCCTCTTTACAGAGCACTCAAACCTGAATCATTCGTGCCCTTTTGATGTAAGTTTAAATAAGTTATATATAAACTTTTTAAGTATGTTAACAAAAATTCCCTATATTTTTTAGCATGATATAATAGTGGACAAGCTGCCAGCTCAGTTTGTTTTTCAGAAGTTTAACTCCTTTATACCATTTCCCGAGGGAGACTATGTTTTTTCCAGCAATTGGATTGCTTACGGCATAAATCGTGCCAATGTGAGGGTGCACGTGACGTATACGTGATTTGAATGGAATGTGTATGTCGATATATAAAAATTATTTTTAAATATTGTAACTTAATTGTAATTAACTTTTTATGGGTTTAATATGCGATTGGTTTTTAAAAAAATAATTTTGTCTGCTTTACTTTATTATTTTCTGACTTCATCTGGTGCACATGTCGTATACGTGATATGTGGAGGGTGTTTGTTAAATATAAAGAATTTTCTATTAAATACTGGATTTTGATAATTGTTTTATTTTTTACGGGTGGTTTAATATTTAATTCGTTTTTATAAAAATAATTTTGACCGGTTTACTTTAATATTTTTTTACTTTATGACTGGTGCACATGTCGTATACGTAATATGTGATAAAGGTGTTTATTTAATTATAGAGAATTATTGTTTAACATTTGATTATGAATTTATATTTTTGTTTTATGGGTGGTTTAATATAAACCATATAACACTTCTAAAATATTTATTCAATGTAATGAATATTTTCCAGTAATTTTGGCTGCTTTACTTTAATATTTTCTGACATTATCAACAACGATTTTAAATGCAATTTCAACTATCAATAGAAGAAAAGATCAAAGCAGTATAAACTCAATAAATATAACAATAGAACTAGAACGTAAAACTCATATTTGCTAAATGGAGGATTCTTGAATTTGGTCTTTCTTGATCTTATCATTAACATAGTTACCATCGGCCTGGATATCAATCTCGATGTGTGAGCGGGAAAAGAGTCTCTTTAGTCGAGTGACAGCCACTGGATCAAAGGTGGTGTGGATGGTGGTGGTGTTCCCGGGAGCATGTAGTGAGCCACAAAGTGGAGCATCCGATATGTGGCATGTTGATAATTCTGGCTGTGGGCAAAACACTGACGGATCCTTTGACCCAAAGTGGCGGCCAAGCAATTCTGCAGATTAACCAATTGATCATCTTTTTCCTGAATGGAAGTTTCCAATTGTAAGGTGTGTTCGAGTAGTTTGCTATACGAAAACAATAAAATTTAATTTATATTTCATTTTTATATACTATTTATAATGTACCCACCTGTATTGCTCATCGGCTGCCTTTTTGAGCTCCTCCAACTTGGCTGTACTTTCGCGCAGCTTCTCTATGAAATCCTGCTTGAGGGTGACATCAATGAGCAGCAGTTCCTGCTGCTGGGTTAGCTCTTTACGGACGCACTGGCTCTCCTGGAAATCAAGCTGAAGGCGGGTCAGCTGCTCCATTTGCTCCCGCTGCTGACTCTGCAACTCCAAGAGTTCGTTCTTGAGCGACTTTTGCTCTTCCTCCAGGTTTTCAATGTTTTCATTCTTGGCGGCCACTTCTGCCGACAGTTTCTCCTTTTCGGTCCTGACCTCCACCAGGACTAGGCTGAGATCCTCATAGGAGAGCTTAATTTGGGCATTGTCTCGATACGATTGCCGTAGCTGATCATTAAGAGTGGCATTGCGACGCTGCTCCACACAGAAAAGTGAGTTGTAAACATGCAACTGATTGCGATTCTTCACTAGCTGAAAAGGTAATGGAATCCAGGATATAAATTACGAATTATGAAGCAAGTCAGGTAGGTTATTGAGCTTAGACTCACATTCTTCTTGAGATCATCCACCTGATCTTTGAGCTGTCCCACCTCGTGGCGACGCTTGCGCCAGGCATGCAGCATGATGGTGTTAAAGATCCTCAGACTGGCCACACGTGCATCCTGTTCTGGGCCAACCAGGAAACTAACCTGTCCGTCACCCGACTTTATGAGTGTATCAGCATCTTGGAGAGTTAGTTTGCCCAGATCAGCTTTCAATTCCTCGCTTGCATTTTCCAAGAGCGGCTGTTCTGCGATTACTTTTCTTGGCGATGGTACATGAGCCACCAGTTGATAGTTTCCTGTGCGTCGGGCCTCCTTGAAATCCATTTGGGACACCGACTTACGGACCCGGAAGTTAATCATCGAAGCTGTATTCTGACGTTTGATGGTTAAGTAGGGAGTTAGGGAGCTTGGTTCCCGGAACAAACGGGTTTTTGGCAACTTGGCTACCATGTCCGAGGACTGTTCCGAACTGGTGGCACTGGTGGTCAGCGAGTTGTCCGAGGACGAGGGTGTCAGGAGCCCCGTCTCGGTCTTTTTGTCCAGCTGCTGCTTATTGATGTCCTTATGGGCTAAGCTATAAAGATATATAAACATAGAGAGATACATAAAATAGATAAAAATATATATCGTGGTGGATTAAAGTTGTATGAAATGATTTTAAAAAATTTGTTCATTGATCTTAACTCACAGCACATTCTTCTTACATTACGTTGTCCATAGCTATGACGTTTTTCAACTGGTTAGCGATTAGAGTCTTAGAATATAAAGCCCTAGGAGATGCCTTCTGCTGGATTGTAGTAAAACCAGATGGATTGTTCTGGCGAATACGTGGACTCTTGGGCCACATTATGTTTGAAATTAATTATTATTCTATCTCGAAAAGGAACTGCGAATGCAGATGCAATAATAAATTGATTTTATTTTGTTCAAACGTATTGGAGTCAGGCAGATAACTAAATTCTGAGAAGGAAACTAGCAAGACAGCTGAATAGCTTGAAGTCACAAAGAAAGCTTACTGAGAAATAGAAGTAAATGTTTAATAGTTTCCATTTAAATCTCTTTGAGCCCAAATAAAATTCTGAACACTCATCCACCTAATTACTCAAATTGTATTTAAAATTTCCAATTAAAATGTTTACTCTTTAGAATGTGTCCCCATTTATTTGAAATCTTTTCAACTGGCGGATGACAAATTTGAGGCCGCCGAATAAACAGCGAGTTCAAAGCGGCAAAGATATCCTGCTGTGCATTCCCTCCCCGCAGTTCAGTCAGCACATCCGGCCAGGTTCACACACATCGTAAGTAACTTGATGCGGTGGCAGCATCCGCTTTCTTTCTTTCCCATTTTGCGGCTCATTTTCCCCGGGGGCGCAATTTCCGCTAGATTGGGCGCCAAATGTTCATTCGAATGTGGTTCCCCACCACCGCTGACAGCGCTGAGGCTACGAAAAAGCTCTCTGTCGCCGAGAAATTCACCAAAACGAGTGCACTTGGAAAAATTATTATGCCGTTAGAATTAAAAAGAAAAGATGATAAATCTTATAACTGTTTAATTTAATTTATAAAACAAGAGAGCAAGCAACTTCTGGAAGCCGAGTTATACCCTTACATGTTATTATTGGATCAGGAACTATATCTTAAATTACTAGATCGACTCAGCTACTGTACTAATCAAGAATATAGATGATTCATAGGGCCAGAAATTACTAACTACTTCACTGCGTTTTAAGCTTCAGAGCGGAATTAAATTAGTATAAAAATGTAGTTTTGAATCTATGTAAAGGGTATGAAATCAATATGGGTGAATAATTATAAGTAAGGTGTTAACTTTAAGCAGAGTATAAAAATATCCATACACAAAATACAATCCATGGCAATAAGTTAAGTTAATTGGAAAATAATGCAAATCAAGCACAGCTGATCGCTCCTATTAACTTTATGTTAAGATTAACTGTAGGCAGTATGTATCATCAGTTGATCATCCTCCTGTTATCCAGATATATTGCATGGCCACGTCATATTTTTGGGGTCGAATCACTAATCACTATCACTATCACTCTAGATGTTAACAGGTGGGGGGCCCCGGACAGACTGAGGCGCGCGGGCCAGCAGCGCCTGTATTTATACTCTCCAGTGAAGAGAACAGAGAATGTGGGAGCGAGAGAGTAACTCTTGCTTTCTCCAGAGTTTAGCACAGAAAGAGCAGCGAAAGGGGTACGTCTAGAGATGCAAATAGGAGCATAGGGATAGAGAGTGTAATAGAGAGGGACAGAGAGAGGAGAGGGCAATTTTTGAGTGAAATGCTAATGTTTTTAAAATGTAACATTTTCTTTGTTACTAAATAAATTATCAGATGGTTACCTTGCATGACGTATACTTAATGTGAGAACCCTTAAATTAAGTATACGCCGTGTGTGTATCTCAAGGGAGATACGATTACAAATTTTTAAAGATACGTACTTCCAGTTAAAAAACACTTTTACCAAGAAAGAAGAATAATAAATAATAATAATAAATACTTATTTTCCTAAGTGTGCTTGTGCGTGTGCGCAAGCAGCGAAAGCTCACCCATGGCTCAGTCGGCGTCGCTGCTTTCGAATGGCCGGCCCTAGGACAACTTTTCCTCCTATTGTTATTGTTTTTCTTGTTGTTTCTGGGGGGTTGTGGGTGGAAGTGGGGGAGGGGGTGGAACGACCACTCTGTCTGTGTGGTGGCCAAAAGGCGCTGGCGGCTTCATTAACGTTTCGTCGCTGCTGGCAAACGGTTCTTCGCCTCCGTGGCAGCACATCTTCTCCTTTTTCAAAGCCAAAAAATTCAAAATTTCGAGTTCGAAAAACGTAACGGCAAAATTGAAATCAATTTGGATTATGTGTTGCGATCATTGATAAATTAATTAACATATAAAAACGTGTGTTTTAAATCAATTCGAAATATGCCCATAAAACGATTGATTAATTAATTTACGTATAAAATCGACTCGTTAAAAGTGGATTGTGCGTGTGTGTTTTGTGTGTTCCAGTGCGTTTACGAAAATTCCAAAAACGAACAGTAAAAATCGAAAAAGAAAATTCAAAATAAAACACTTTTTGAATTATTGTCTGGAAATTCTGATTTAGGTGAGTTCTGAATTCCGACCATAAATAACAGCGGCTGCCGCTGCTGCGAAATTACAAAATTCCAATTTGTTTGTTAATATCTGTTGCGTATTCAAACGAACTCGCTTCGAGTCTAATATGCCAGCGAAAAGAACATCAATGAAATTGGGTTTCTCCCAAACGGATCAATTAAATATTAAACAGGTGTCTTAATCACCAGCTCTGACGATTCGCGATCTTTATTCCCGTATGCTTACGTCTTGGGGAAAAAGTTAGTTGAAATTAAATCATCCCTTGATCTAACTCATTCGCTAACTAAATTAACGTCACATAGAGAGGGACAGAGCCGGATGACCTGTTTTTTGTGGTCAAGATATATCAAAGTCCAATCAAATGATACTGACGTGTTAACTGGAATCAAAAGTGGCTTGAATCGGCGCGCGCCTCCCTTTCCGAGAATTTGTGTGGCTTATTATAATTATTATTCCTGGAAAGTAAATGCATTTACTTAGCGGGCTAGAAAGTGACCAAGTTTACAATTTCAGTTGCTACTCTATGACATTTAAATCTGTAATAATAATTTTCAGTAGAAACTATTATGTGGCATTTATTGTAAATATAAATGTGTTAAATGTAAATCAATTCAATGACGTTAAGTTTTTATGGAATTATGTGACTTTTTAACCAAGTTCCAGAGTAAAGTGATTTAATACTTAGTTTTAAAAATAATCTTTCTTTTAAGAGAATATATAAACTGTATAAATATGGCAAAGTGGTTCGTTATCAATTAAGTTTAAGTTCATGCTTTGGCATTTTGATATCAATGAAATGTTTACTACCTTCAGACCTTAAAATTTGCAGGCCTTAAAAATGTTTCCTCATTTAATAGTTTTTTAGTTCAAGTTTGAAGGAACCTTAATATTAATTTTCCTGATAGCTTCACACAATTATATTAACAAACGCCATCTCCTATCCAGCTGACCTTTGATCAATTATTCTACATTCCTATTCAGAAAAAACAACAAACACAATTGCACAAAACGCTATAATAATAATATAATAAAACAGTGCAATAGCATTTGCAATTGAGGATTCGTTGCCAGTTCCAGTTCTGGAGAATAATGCCATTAGGTATGAGTCTTAATCCCCGCCACTAAAATGCATTCACTTGACTGTGAAATTAATTAATTCACATTTGTTTGTACTGCTCGCTCGATATTGTTATTCTTTTTATATTATTTTGTATTCTCTATAAAGTTAAAGCAAATAAAAAGCTGCGACTATCTCCATTTGTGTCTGACTAACCTGAACTTGTGAAATGATGGAGTCAGTGTCTCCAAGACTTTGGATTAGACAACCTTGATATGGTCACTAAACGAAACGTAGACAGCGAGAAAAACATGTCTAATTTTATATTCTTTCACTTAAATCAACCGTAGCACTAAGAAAAATTGCACTATATTTATACAATAATTTGTTCAGCTTAGATCAAAGGTAAAAAAACTCATAAATAAGGCAAAAAAGCATTGATTTCAATTCGGAAATTACTTTCCTATGTTCGTTTTTATTAGATTAATAAATCTGAATACTCAATTTAAAGATTTAAAAAAATTAAATTTTTTGACAATTTTAACGATGTTATTCTTACCTTTAAAAATTGAAAAAATTTTATTTTTAAACCGCACATAGCTAGATCAATTTGGCTGTTGATTCTGATCAAGAATATATATGGTTTATAGGGTCGGAAATGACTTCTTCACTGCATTTTTATAAGGAAGGGTTAAATAGCTGGTACTACTTTATAATAATACTTTATAATAAAGTGATTAATACTCTTCACTTGTAGCACAATTTTACCTATGCTATTATTTGTAAGAGTAACTCGTAGTTTCAAATCACTTTATGCTAAATTTAAAGCTTAAATGAGGACTTAAACTATATCATTTATAGCAGTCCCAAAAAAAATACGTATACGCACTGTTGTAAATAGTATTTGATCATAACTAAGCCAAAAAAGCAGTAATTTTAATTCGGAAAACTGTTCTATGCTATCAAAATCTAATTTCTATTCAGGAGTTTAAATAAATTATAATCAAAATATTTCCAGTGTAGAAAATACACCAAAGACCACAATCATGGATAACAACACCTTTGCGTTGCATGCGGAACTCCAACGATGTTGTTTTTCTTTCTGTCTTCAACTGCAGTTACCAATTATGTAATGTGGCCAATGCAAAGTGACTGGAAACTGGAATGGCTGAAACCGAAATTTTTCCACTCTCCAGAGACCAGACTTCATGATCGGTGAGCTCTCCTCTCGGATCACTCGGCTTTTCAGCTCTCAGCAGATTTCCGCATGGGCAAACACACAATGATATAGTATTGGTATCATATATTTATACATATATATATCAATATATATACTATTGGGGCCTCAAATTGAACACAATTGTGGTGTTTGGAGAGCCGCTGAAATAGCGGATGTGTGTGAGTGCGCTCGTTGGATGATTCATCCTCGATTCGGGGAATCCAAAGCCAATCAAGTGCCGCAAACCAAAACCTAAAAAAATACGTTAAGCGAAAAACCAAGACAAGGCAGACGGACAGGTTTTTGTTTCACCTTCTCGTTTTATTTTATTTTAGTATGTCACGCCAAAAGTTTGTGGCCATTCCCCAAGAGTATTTTCTTTACACTCGATTAATTCGAGCAGCATGAACGAAATCTTATTTTAAAAATCTTTAAACCTTTTTA